TGGTTTACTATGGTTTAATATGGGTTTACTATGGTTTACTATGGTTTTACCATGGTTTTACTGTGGTTTTTCATATGGTTTTTATTTGGGATGATCATGGGATAATACTGGGATATTGATGGTTAACAACTACCCGGCCCGGTAAACCTTGACATAACGAACTGGAAGATCACCATGCTATGAACATGGGAAAACTCGCGTCATTTCGACTGGGCCATTTTACAATAACTATATTTTGAATTACTGGAGGGTAACCACAGAATGATATATTATGATATCTGACACTATAAGTCGGGTTTCCGTTTTTTTTCAGAGCTTTTAAGATTAGGAATGTGAACACCATCAGGACATGATTTGAAATTGCGGTGCTTAATGTATTTACACCCATGTTCAAACCATGTTCTGGCAGCCTTGGCCTTGGCCGTGTTTTTGTTTTTTTCTAGACCTGGAATGAACGTCCGGTGCTGGCTCAGTATTGCAGCAGGCATCGCAGGGTACCCTCTGGTAATGACTAACATAGATAGCTATGGAAAAATCACCATGCTATTGATGGGAAAACTATCACGAACTTTCGACTGGGCCATGGCTTCAATGGCTATGTTAGTCATTACCAGAGGGTAGTAGAGGAGGATCCCAGAATCATGAACAAAGGACAGATGCGCAATGTGCCCTCCGGCTCTGGAAAAGTTACAGGAGATTCATGCGTTGCCGGGAGAAGCGTTTCAGCCCAAGAGTGGCGCCCTGGTTTTTTTTGGCTGGTTGAGTACTTCATCTGGACTCTACAATGTGGGGCCCCAAACAATATCTAAGTTGGTGCACATTACTGGGTTAACTATGGTTTATGGTGGATATAACTATAGTGAACGAGATTTTTAAACCAACTTATAACTGGGGGGGGCCACATTGTAAATATATCCACAATAACAACCTAATCTGAACCGGCACCGGCACTTGGTCGCAAAGGATACGGTTAGCCATATTTATGGAATCACCTCTACTCAGAATGGTTAGTAGAAGTGTGGCATTGCTGGGTGCAGAAGGTTGCTCTACAACTGCCTTACCCTCCAGTAATCAAATGTGCTTGAAAATCCCTGATGTTTTGTGGGGATATCGCCTTACATAGCCCTGAAAAATAGGCCTTAGATATGGTAGGTA